CTTTCGTTAAGCACTACAAGGGCGCAGCTGTCGTCGCAAAATTAAGAATTAAAAGACGGAAGAAGGCCATGCCAATAAAACCTTTCACCTCCTTGACCGCTTTCGGGGTCGGAAACTGTCGTATAGCGATGACGACGCAATCACCTTACCCTTTTTTCTCTATCCCAAACATTCTCAACGCTCCACACAGATGTGATGTTCCTCTTTAGGAGATCAAAATGCTCCAGTTGAGAAGTTTGATGATATTGGTGATATTTTGGCTCATTGTGTATTTTGGCGCTCTCGCCAGGCATTTCCGGGCTCAGCTAATGGGATATTTGTGTCCAGGAGGTCAAACTACCCCAGTTGACAAGTTTTCAGCGAACTTGGTGATTTAGGGTATTTTGGCGCTGGCGCCTGTGGCACGGGTGCTAGGAGGTTTCGTGCCGAGCGGATGTGATAATCATGTTCAGAAGGGCAGACTACCCTAGTAGGCAACTTTCAGCCAATTCTGCTCACGAAGAAAAAAGTCGGTCAAAAACTGGCCTGATTTCGGGTGATTTGGGCAGTAAAGGGTAAACACTGCCTAAAAGTCTTGAAAGCGAAGCACAATTGCCGGCACTCGAGTCTTTCCTGCTGCAAGTAAGAGCAAGCCTGACAAAATAACTCAAAAGTATTTTCTGAACTCGCAGAAGATGTTCCGAAAAAATGCAAAAATGCGAACCTGTCAAGGAATCGAACCCATGACCTCCCACCTGAAGCAACTTATCTATCCACTACACCATCGACCACTTGAGACTCTATCTTCTCCCTAGTCCCGCGCCGTCGCAGGGCCCGCTGTTCTTGTTAGACGTCGCCACTTGTTCCGATCCACTGCATCTTCTGCTGTGGCTTTCACTTCAGTGAGGTCCCTCTTGATGACGTCCCTCCTCTTTCTTTGGGGCTCCTCGTGGTCGCTTGCCCTCTACCTCGAGTTCCAATGCCTTCCTTATTGGGTGGTCTTCAGGCCTCCTCAGTACATGCCCATACCATCGCAGTCGCTGCTCTCGTGCCTTCAGCTGGATCGGAGCCGTCTGTGTGACCGCCCTGACGTCCTCGTTTCTGACTCTGTCGAGTCGTGTCCAGCCGCAGGCCCATCTCAGCATCCTCATTTCAGCTGAGTGGAGCTGCCTTTCATGGTTCTTGCAGATGGGCCAGCACTCACTGCCGTAGAGCATTGTAGGCCTTACCACCGCCCGGTACACCTTGCCCTTGAGCGTTCTCGAGCACCGCCGGTCGCACAGGATGCCAGTGGACTCCCTCCATTTCATCCAGGCTGCGTTGATTCGGGCCTTCACCGCCTGGTCCACGCTGCCATCAGCTGCTAGGTTGCTCCCCAGGTACTGGAAATCCTCTACCCTTTCGATACTCTCGCCATCGCGGTCTACGATGAGTTCGGTGCACTCTTCGGAGCTTAGGAACTTGGTCTTCTTCACGTTCAGCCGGAGTCCATTCTCAGCGAGCACATCCTGCCACCGCTGCACCTTGCCCTGGAGTTCTTCCCTCCTGTCCGCTATCAGGGCGATGTCGTCAGCGTAGAGGATGGTCTTCAGTGGCCCTTCCATGATTTCTTTTGCCATGACATCCAGAGGTCCAGAGGTATGAGAAAGGGCTGAGGGCTGCTCCTTGATGTACCCCAACCGTAATATTTACCTCCTCGTCAAGCCGTGAGGGGTGCGTACATCTGCTTTAGCCCCATCGTACATGTCCTTCACTATGGAGATGAGGTGTTCCGGAATGTTACGTTCTCTGAGCGCTCTCCAGAGTACAGGCCTAGGCAGGCGGTCGAATGCCTTCTCAAGGTCCAAGAAGGCTAGGCAGCAGGGTCGCCGCTTTCTCGGTACATCTCCATCAGCTTAGAGAACGTAACGAAGATGGCATCGGTGGTGGACCTCTCGGGCTTGAAGCCGAACTGTTCCTGCGAGATAGAGACAGTTCCCTCAGCCTAGTGTTGACCAGGCGCACGACTTTGACAGTTTCATTTAATGGGGAGTCGACTTGATTGCGCCGGTAGGATGCACTCCGTTGCTGGTCTCTTCGAGTATTCCTGCCCACCTCTTTCTGACTTCCGACTGGTAATTTGGTTTCCGAGAATGGCCCGTTGCTGCTCTTCACAGACTTTACGATCCTGATGTCCTGATGTCCTGAGCGGCGCGATGCCGAGTTTCAGCCAGGCGGAAGGCGAAGTTGTCCCCTTCTCGGCCTTCCAGTTTCTCGTCCATTTCCATATTCTTGGCCTTAGCAACGGCGGCCTTAGCGAGTCGCTTACAGCTCTTGTAGGCAGCGAAGTCTTCTGGGTCTCGTCTTGTGCCACTGTTTATATGCCTCCTTCTTCTGGTTGGCGATCCCCTGGACTTCCTCGTTCCAGAACCAGGCTGCCTTGTCTCCTCTGACACCCGCGTCTCTCCCACAACCTCCCTTGCACGCTGTAGGATGACCTCTGCTGCGTAGGTCCAGGTGTCCTGAACTGGCTCATGTGGATCCAGTCTCCAGTATTCTTCGGCCGAGGCTATCCTTTTCTACCTTGCCCACTTTCCACCACCGAATTCTCGCGCCCCTCTCACCTCGACTCTTCGAGGTCTATGGCGATGTCTGCCATTAGAGTTGTGCTGAGGGCCAGCTTTCCCGCGACAGTACTTTGATATTCCCCTGACTGGTTTTTGAGAGACGCATCTTCTGACCAGGACATGGATCGATTTCCGTTTGTCTCCCTCCACTGCTGTAGGTTACCTTTTGGGTCCTCCTTTTCGCGAAGAAGGTGCTGCAGATTGCTAAGTCGTGGGCTGTGGCTAGGTCAAGGATCCGTTCCTCCCTCAGCGTTCTTTGTCCCTATTCCTTGACCTCAGTGCCTTTCTAGACCCCTTCTGTCCCTCCCAACATGTCCATTCAGATCCCCTGCTATGGTGAGGTAGTCCTCTTCCGGAACCGATCTTATGGCTTCGTCTGGGGTCAGGTAGAACTCATCCTTTTTCGCCTCGCGGATAGCCAAACGGAATGTGGTGCGTACACGGTCAGTACTGTCCAGTACCCCTCCTTCGTGTCCATTCTTACGCCCATGATCCAGTCACTGATCCTGTTCACAGTGGAGACGCAGTCCTTGAGGGATTCTGCCACCGCTATGGCAACGCCATTCCGTTTGGTGTCTGCTCCATTGTAGAAGAGTTTTACACCTTCTTCAATCTTGCAAGCCTTCGCACCATTCCATCACGTTTCCTGCAGGCATAGGAGCTTGGATATTCCTGCGTCTCATGAGGTCGGCAACCTCACGAGACTTCCCGGTAAGCGACCCCACGTTCAGGGTCCCAATTCGAACTAGCTTCTTTGGCCGAGGTCGTTCACCCCTCGGTAGCCCTCGCATACTGACCACAGAACTCGGGCGAGGGTTCTGCGCGCCACTTCCGGGTGACGTCCTAGCTTTAACACTGATACTTTTGCGACTTGTCATGGTTGTTGTGACGGGTTCCTCCATCAGCCGGCCTGTCAACCTGGGCCTGACGCTGGTATCGTCCCCATTTTTGCAATTTTTGCAAGGCATGGTTTGTATCTCGGCAGGGATTCGAACTCGTGGCTCAGAGTGAGTATGAGTCTACACTCTTAACCACTCGGCTATCCCTGCCTCACTTGAGAGTGTCTGTACTCGAGTTTAACTTGAGCTACGCAAAGGAGGATCGGCGAGTGCTATGCTAGAACAACCCCCCCCAACTCCTCATAAAGAATCGTTCGGCAAATTTCGGGAGCAGATTTGAGTTCGGCGTCCCGAGATGTGCACGTCGATATGCATCTCATCCTGTATGGCCATGGCGACCTGTTGACCTTCCCTGGTGAGCAATTTCTCATTTCTGCTGTTTTAGAGCTTGCTTGTAGAACGCGAAAAGTTGTGTTGTGATCTATATTTTTGTTTTCCGGCAGTGTTTTTTTTTCCTAGGTGAATTGTAGGACTAACAGCGAGCGCACACTGTGCGTGGGTAGAGGGCTTAACTTCTTGAGCCAATCACCACACTAATTCGTCCGCTATCTGAGGTTAATCGTTGCTATTGCACCAGTCATCAGCAGCGCCCGTTTGCAGCCAACGGAATAAAAACATTTTCCATCCCTGAATATCTTGAATCGACTTTGAAGGGCTCTTTCTAATGAGCTCATGCGCATCATACACAGAAAACATTCTGCTCTTGTTACTAGTTACGATATTTGCCTCGGATTCTTTGTAGTGTTTAGGGTGTGTAAGAAGTGTGTAGGGAGGCGAAGAACTCAACGGCCTATCTGTTGGTGACTTCTGCTGCTCATCATCTCCACTGGAGTGCTGCTTCAAATACCAAAATCTCAGTTGCGTCACGCTGTGCATACGGGGCGCTGAGGAGGGCTTCGTTATAAGTGGAGCAAAAATTCCTAATCTAACACGTGGTTTGAGAGATGCTCCATATCACCGACTGATAGCTTTTCTTCAAACTATATTTCTATGATTTTCCTTTAACACCGCATTTATCCAACCGCTTTGCAGACGTTCTTCATCAAGCAGTTCGAAAAGGAAATCTACCAAGGTAATTACAACTCATGGTTTAGGAAATGTTTCTAAAAGCAATGATTTTTTAGAGTAAGTCTTCGAAGAAGTTCAAGCGAAGCAAAACACCGACAACTCTCTTCAAAAAGCATTTCCCTCGCCGTGGCAAAAGTAAGAAAGGAAGCACTAAGAAGTCCCCCTTGAAAAAGAAATCACAAACTCCAAAAGAGGACAGTAGCGCTTCGAAGCAAGCGTCTGAAAAAGCATTCCAGCCACCGCTGGGTGAGCAACCGCAGGCACCTGCACAACAACCAGTGGTGGCGGAGGCAACAGCACAAAGCGATCAGCAGCGGCCGACCGATCAGGCTGCAACTGCTGCAGTGTCTCAGGGTATAGCTGTCAGTGGCGTTCAGGACGGAAGAACAGTACAAATGGAAGATCATAGACAGGCTATAGAACTAGCTCTGGATACAAAACCTATAACCGTCCCAGCCACGGCTTCGTTTCATGCTACCGCTTCGCATGTACCGAGAAGGTTAGTTGGATCCTTTAAAGGAAATTGCACATCATCTCAAAAGATTTTCTCGTTATTGGTAATTGTGAAATGTTTCTGTGGTCCGACTGTTATATGATGGAAGAAAAGCTTTCAGCACATCTCGCAGTCGTCGTCGTTCCACTTCTCGTTCAACGTCACGCGTACAGATCCCTGGTCACAATGCACCTATTGCCACCTTCTTCGGTATGTGTTTTATAGGCAGATAGCACGAGTTTGAGTCATCCACTGAAGCGTGACCTTTCAGCATTCGCTTCGCAGCAAAAGGCCGTCAAGTCGATCGAGAGAGTGAGGAGCTTATCGTTGTTGCAACTACGGTGCTACATTCATATGGCATGACCTTTGATGAGCGAAAAGCAGAGCTTGGAAGTTTGGTCCAAGTAAGTTGTCAAGTAAGATGAGAAATGGCAAAGTAGCTTGAATATTAAAAATTATCTCTTAAGGTTCCTCCAGCTGTAGTGAATGTCAAGACTATGGACGATGATGGGTTTCAAGAAGAGAAAACCACGCAAAATGTTCTCATTGGAAACAAGATGATCATCGTCGAACGAAGATCATGCCTTTTGGTAAGTATTTCTGACTAAATGGGTACATTTGAGTTTTGCGTGCTATCCACACGGAAGTTTTGCCGTGACGAGTGGAGTGCATTCAGACGCCTTGGTTCATACGCGGAGTGTGGGTACAGCTGAACTCGAGTCTTG